ACAATCCCTCCCCCCAACCCCTCACAATCCCCTCTGCACCCCACCCGCCCCCCCACTTCCCCCACCTCCCATTCCCCTCTCAAAGAGATCTCTGTAGCTTTGCAGCTCTGATTAAAAGCACCAAATATTGCAATTGACTTTCCTGGATATCACTCTTTAGAGTTCGTTTGCTTTTGCAATTTCAAGTGCTTCTTTGTTTATGATGGAAGCTCATACGATAGTGTTATTGTTAGACAGCCTGGATGTTTAATGATGTTTAACTTTATGTGTGATTTGTATTTCTTTAATGTGCGTAGTAAGACTGGAGTAAATGTGGTTTTGTTTTAGTCTTGCTCTGTAAATGGTGCTGGGGTGTCTGGAGTATTGACCTGTTTAAACATGTTTAGATAAGGCCTTTAAAACCCTTATGGTCAATAGTTTGGTTCATGAGAAAGGGGTTGGAAGAGGAAATAAGGTGGTATTGTCTAGGGACCAAATCCAGTAAAGCAGAAAATTGCTGAGAAGCAGTGTGAATGTCCATTGAGAGAGAAAGGATCTCTATAACAGCAACTGTACCAATGTCTAAAACAATCAATGCTTGGCAATACTTCCTGAGTTGCTTTGAGGAAATTTCCAGAAGCAGATGGCTGTGGAATGCATGAGGTTCAGGAACCCGTGATAAACAATACGTGAGCTGTGTTAGCAGTTTAAGGGTCTTGGGGAGAGATATTAACAGGAGAAAATAGCATCGAGTAAGTACAGATCTCTGCTGAAAAGTAACCTATTTCAGTTGTGCTAATTCAACTGGGAGATTTAAAATGAGAAAGCGGGGGGAACATTCACTAAGTATCTGTAAGGGTGTTGAGGGTAAATGGGCTTAATCTTTTTGCATGATATTTCAAATCAGACTGTTACAAATGGTTCTTGTTTGTGTTTGGTTTCATTCTGTCTGATAAACTTCTTCTGTTTAATGAGGCCTCTTGTGAATATCAGAGACTGATCACCACGGGAAAGAAATGAAAGAAATCAAGCAGGTTCCATTTCGAGATCTGAGATATCCATATTACCATCAGCTAGGATAATCACACACCTGTCCTGTAAGACTGAGAGGATGTTATTAGTCAGAGGGTAGTGGAGACTGGATAAAATTCCTAAGGGCAGCACATTGAATCAAACAGGAGCTAACTGCCCACAAATGAAACAGAAAATGGGAGGCTGAGAATGAGGGATATCTTGAGAAGATCACTCTATCATAAAACTCTGGAGATTGTTGGCATTCTGGATTTTCTTAGGCTCCTTGTTATTGGGTCCCCATTGTAATATCTTGAATCAAACAAATTTCCCTTTTTTTTGGAATGCTGAAATGAAATAAATGAAACACTCACACAACAGACAAAAGGAAAGATTGTGATTAGGATCTGGGGCTTGTAGTTTCTGAATAACTGAGTTAATGACTTGTAAAACTCTCACAAACAGAAGTGCGAACCAGAGTTATAAAGCAGAGGTTGATAACACCCCTGAGAACTAAAACCAAAATACCCAAAGAGGAACACCTCACTCCATAATCTGTTAGAAACAAGTGTGAAAAGTGGTATGACCTGCCTTTCAGCAACTTCTAGTGGCTAAATAAAATAAATCCCTGACACTCACTTAAAAATCAACAAGTAACAATTTATTTATCTAACTCTAACAGTGAACAAATTAACCAAACTATTAACAAACCAAATAAATCCCTTCTAAATGCTAACTATTCCCAAATAAGCCAAGATTCTAATGGTATGCTGTTCCAATAATTACAAGTCCCACTTATATAAAAAAAGAATTGAGTCTCTCAAAATTACAGCCAGGTCATGTGTCTTCTGGAATGTTCTGTGCCTTCTCTGTCAATTCTTCTGTCAGGAATGTTAATTAGTTGTGCAGTTGGTACCATTGTTATTTAGATGGTGCTTTCTGTAAGACATAGGCAAGGCTGTGAGAGCCAGTGATTCTCTCTTGAGAGCTGAGGGCCGTTAGCTCTGGCAGATGGCATCTAGCTCTGGGGCTTTGTCCAACTGCCCCCTTCTTTTATACCCTTGGTCCTGTGTCGTCAAAACCAGCAGAGTTAAATTTACTAGGTTTTTGGTATCTAAGTACTTGGTTCAAATTGATTGGCTAAATTCAAAAGCCTGTTGTCTTGGTAAAAATTGCTGCTTGGCCTGCTAACTGTATGGCCTTTCAATACAAATGTTTCAATTCGGGTGCTCTCTGTTTACTTGCAAACTTTCAAGCTGTTGCTCACAGACATTCGTTTTAATTCTCATAGAAAAAGCACACGGTCTTTTAAAGTGTCCATGTGATGCTTTCCCCCCCACCCCTTGTATTTTACAAACACCAAATTCTAACTTTCTGCCTCCCAATCCACAAGTAGTCTACCCAACTTTGCAACAACAGATAACCTTCTGGTGATATTGGCTGAGGGACACATACTGGCCCTTGGACACTGGTGAGAATAGCCCTGCATCACTCAAAATCCTGGCCTTTTTCCTGGCTTGATAAGGCACACAGGACCTTTCTTTAATATCTCATTCCAAGGTTTCACTTCTGACAGTGTGGTACTCCCTCGGTACTCACCTTCCAACATGCAGCACTCCCTCTGCACTGACCCTCCGACAGTGCGGCGCTCCCTCAGCACTGACCCTCCAACAGTGCAGCATTCCTTGGGTACTGACCTGAGAATGTGAATGGGCTGAAGTCTTGGGTTTGAGGCTTGAACCCACAATCTTCTGACTCCAGAGTGTTACACACTGAAGCTGCATTTTAGGGAAGAAAGCTGAGCAGCTTGAATGTTGTGTATCTCTGAGCAGACAGCTGTGGTGTTCAAATCGATGCACTGTTTTCCTTACATTGCTCACTGACAGTCCTCATCAAAGGCCCTGCATTGCTGCTGTACTGTCTGCACTGCTCCATACAGTAACTGCATAGGAAGACAGGATTCCAGCCTCTTTATAATTAATGAAAAATCTGAGATAATATTTACAGTAGTGCAGAGATCCCAGGAGGAGAGACAGTGCTGACAATTACATGTTAATTTCTGAAAAATCTTCAGGGATGTCCAAATCAAAATATGTAATGCATATATAATGTCCTCCTGCTGCGAACCTCCCCTCATTCTCAATCTATAAATAGCTGCAATGCAGGCGGAAACATTAGCAATCAATCTTCCTGTTCAACTGGATATCTATCTATAGTCAGCACTCCTTCCAATATTCCTTCTTATTATCTGCTCTCTCGATCCTTACTGTATGATAGGACTGACAGCTTGCTGCATCTCTGAATCAATTCCCTCAGCACTGACCCTCCGACAGTGCCCACTCCATCAGTACGAACCCTCTGACAGTGCCCACTCCCTCAGCATTGACCCTCCGACAGTGCCCACTCCCTCAGCACTGACCCTCCGACAGTGCCCACTCCCTCAG